ATCATTAGAATATTAAGTAAAGATCATGTTCCATGAAGATATTTTGCAAATTTCCTACCGCAAATATATCAAAACTTAATGTTTGATTAGTAATATGCATGGCTAAGAACTTCATTTGGACAACTTTAAAGGCTTTTTCCTCAATATTTAGATTTTTTTGCACCCTCAGAGATTCCAGATTTTTTAATATTGTGCTATCCTAACAAACCATACATCAATGGAAAGCTGATTTATTCAGCTTTCAGATGATGTATAAACCTCAATTTCGGAAAAATGGACCCTTATGACTTTTTTTGGCCCAGGGTCACATATACTGCTAATTTGGATATTTGGAGAATAAGAAAAAAAAAACAGTTTAAGGTGGGACCGTAGAGGTAACAAAGCATATCTTTAAAAAGTTTGTTTCTCCACTTCAGCAGCACTTGCATACACTAAACTTTACAGTTTTATTCCTGTCTATATTCTGAAGGGTTTTTATTGCACTTTACCTATTTGCATCTGTGGATTTCAGGCCAACGAGTTTATTTTCTCCACTTCAACATACACCAAACTTGTTTTTTTAATCTATATTCTGAAGGTTTTTATAAAAGGGGTTTGTTCATATATTATTCACACCGATTTATACAACATTTTATTCCTCAAACACGGTGAAACATCATTTTTAAACATCCTCAGACACGTTAATGAGTTTCTGGAGTGTGGCCTCCGACTGACCCACATATTCTGAAGTCAAAGTCTTAAAATAATGAAACTTAAAAACGTAACCTTATTCTTAATGTAACGGCGAGCGCAGCAGTGTGCCAAGTACAAAACCAGTCTGTTACGTTACTTGTTGTTTCAAACTGATATTTATCATTTTAATTAGTGCTGTCAAACGATTAATCACAACCAAAATACGTTTTTTTTACATAATATGTGTGTGTACTGTGTATATTTACTATGTATATATAAATACACACACACCGTATATATTTGGAAAATATTTACATTCCTATAATTTATATATAAACATTTAATACATAAACATAACATTTTTCTTAAATATATACATGCATGTGTGTGTATATTCATATACACACACATTATAAATATACACAGTACACACATATATTATGTAAACAAACTTTTATTTTGGATGCGATTAATACAGCACTAATTTTATTTATTATCATTATCATAAACACACTGGTTTGTTGCTCAAATGGTTTTACAGCAGTTATTTGAATCAAAAGTCTCGCACATTTATTTGAAACAGCCTACTTCTGCACTGAAAAATAAGGTGGATAGTTACATTCCAACAATAGCATGTGCAAAAAAAACAAAACAAAACAACCATTCGATTGAGGAAGTTGCATTTTGAAACCAGGAAGATATCTCACGATCAGAATTTCCTCAGTAACTGACCTCTGTGCAGGACGATGTGGTCGATCATGCTGCTCTTGTGTTTGGTGTGGTACAGACAGAAGGGGCAGCGCAGATCTTTGGGCGTCTCCTCGGGGCCGCTGGTGTGACCGGCCTCCACATGCAGCGTGAACGTGGACCTGAGCAACACACACCCACATCATAACCACTCTCACACAGAAGACTAGAGAGTCAGCCACATCTATGGTGCAGTCCAATCTAGAACTATCTTACGCTAGACCAGTGTTTCCAAAACTGGGGCTCATGGGTTGATGAAAAGCTAATAATTAATTAAATCCTAAAATTGTAATATTAAAATATAGTCAAAATAAAACAAAAATTAAAATGAGTTGCAAAAAGGTAATTATTAATAATTAAAAATATAAAATTAAAATAAATGTCAAAATAAAAAGTATCTTTCTGAAGGAAAGATCAATCGTAAAAATGTAAAATTAAAATCAAGAAATAAAATTTAGTTGATTAAAAATGTAAATTAAATTTTAAAATAAAAACAAATCAAAACAAACATGTAATAAAACAATTAAAAAAGACTTTAAATTTTTTTTCAAATAATTAAAATAACGAAAAAACTAAATGAAAAGCTTATGATCAAATAATAAAATATTTAAATAATTAAAAAAATAAAAAATACTAAAAGTAACATTTTATAATGTAAAATAAATTTCAAAAGAGAAACAAAATAAAAAGCTAACTAAAACAGATTAAATATTTGATTTGTTTACCTGTGTCGTGTATAGGGTTGCAAAAAGGTGAACATTTTCCAGTACATTTCGGAAATATTCCCAAAAAATTTGGAAACTTTACATGATTTTTTTGGAATATTCCAGGGATTTTTGTAAAGTTTCCGGAACAAACAAATAAACAAATAAAGATGATCCCAGTGTGTGGTTCTCCGGCGGCTCATGCTGTTCTTACTTGTAGCAGGTGAAGAAGGAGCAGTCCTTGCATTTGAAGAGCTTCTTTCCTCCGTGCCGGTCGCGGTAATGTCTGCGCAGACTCTGCATGTAGCCGGAGCTGAACTCGCAGAACTCACAGGTGAGGATGGAGTCGGGCCGGGCCTGAGGAACGGGACTCTCGAGCGGCGGCGGCGGACTGGAGGAAACATCGGCCTGGACCCGAGACGCCAGCTGGAAGTGACTCAACTGCTGCTGAACATCTGCTGGCTCCAGATACCCCGCAGACGCTGAGACGACAGCAGCGAGAGACATCAGCGTCTAGATGCCGCTTACACCTGTTATTAACATCTGCCTCGGCTCATACCGACATGTGCGTGATTCTGTCGCACGCTGAACCGAACCATTAATTAATTAACACTCAAAGCCCTTGTTTTAGCACAATAATTACATGTTGAGCGAGTGTGATGTGGCCACGCGTCGCTCACACTTAATGTAAAAAAAAAAACATATATATTTCATATTACAGTGGGTACGGAAAGTATTCAGACCCCCTTAAATTTTTCACTCTTTGTTATATTGCAGCCATTTGCTAAAATCATTTAAGTTCATTTTTTTCCTCATTAATGTACACACAGCACCCCATATTGACAGAAAAACACAGAATTGTTGACATTTTTGCAGATTTTTTTTTTTTGTGTTTGTGATGTCTGATTAATCCGTCTCTCTCACAGACGCTGCGTCTCCGTCTGAATGATGTCAATCGCTCATGTCTGTTTCATCAGCCCTCGCCCTTCTCTTACTGTTTGTCTTAAACGCCTCAGAAGAGCGCAGGAGAGAGAGCGAGAGCTGATGGGTAACGGAGAGCAGAAGGACGACGCTCGATTTCTGTCGCTCTGCCCTTCAGTGACTTTCACAGTCGAGCGAGAGAAACACTGTTACCATCAGACGAGTGTGTGAGAGATTCCTGCAGCTCAGCACACACACACACACACACACGCAGTGAAAGCGTCACTCATCTCGTCCTGTCAGTCATATTCAGTGAGTTCATTAATGTCTCAAACTCATTTCAATCATCTTGTTAAAGTCACATGTCAGTCGTCCCCAAGAATCTTGAAACCAGTTCAAGCTATAAATCCAGGCTGAAGCATATTTAATACAGAGATTTGCTTTCTAATGGCAAATATGAACCTAGAAGCGAGTTAAACCTGACAAAACCTCAGTAGTTTCTGTTTGGTTTAGGGTTACAGCATCTATAACAAGCCATATAAAAAGCAATATATGTATGTAATGTCCCCATTAAGGTAGTTAATTAAATGTGTGTGTTTATGTGTATGTTTATGTGTGCGAGTGTATTAGTGTGTGTGTGTGTGTGAGTGTTTGTGTGTGTATGTGTGTGCGTGTATGTAGCGTCTCACCTGCGTGTGCTTTGTGCAGGTGGCTCTTGAGGCGGCTCAGGTAGGAGGATTTAAAGGGACAGAACTTACAGCGGAAGGGCTTCTGATGTCCGTGGTGTGACTGGACGTGACGGTCCAGACTGGAGAGAAAAGACAGCGGTCAGAAACACACATATGGAGGAGAAAAATGCAAAAAGAGAGTTGCTAAATCCTTAATGAGTGACATTGTTCTTTTCCACTTAACATTTTGTTCAGTAAGATGGAGCCACAGCCTAGTGCTTAATGCATCAGTGTTATTTTAGTACTATTTATATACCATTACAGTATAATTGATATTTTGAATGAGCTTTCATATATTTACGTTTTCATTTAAAATTTAGTTTAAGCATTTATTTAGCATTATTTTTATTTCAGTCAGTTGCCAAGGCAATAATAACTTTTTATTCATCTTCTTGTTAAAAATGTTTATTTGGAATTTTACAAAATAAAATGCAAATCCAGTGCACACGCTCTGAAGCTCATGTGGGAGATACAGGTTTGATTTCCCAATCTCTATCACTTCCCGTCCTCTATTCTCATAAAAACTACAAATAAAATACATATGTAAAGCACGCACTAACGCTCAGCAGGTGTCACAGGTGTGCTGTCAGCAGACGCTTCAGGAAGATTCAGAACGTCTATATGATTCCACAAGGACAGGCAGAAAAAGTGAATCGACCGGGATGCGTCTAAAGATAAGTGAAAGCAGCACCTCTCGGCAGAAGATCCCTGCTTTAGCGCTGAGACTCTGACAAAACAGCCGTCTCCGACAGGGATCTGGGGAATCAGTGGTTTTTATCCGCGCTTCCCGTGTGGCACATGAATGCGGCAGCTTTCTGGGTCACGGAACATCCAGTGAAGGAGGATTTACTCCAGGGAACCAAACAAAGGTCCTGCGCTTCAGACGAGACTAACAGCTCTGTCAAAATATCTGCCATTCTCACAGAAAGCCAATGAGGAGACGTGACACCCCAGTGCGTGCACAATCTACAGCTCACATACGTTTTCCCTCAGGATTTCTGTATTTATCTATTTATCTCCTCCTCTCTTTGTTTGATGTAAGAGACAAAGAATCCACAAAGAGTGATTATTATTTTAGTGCTCTAAGGCGAGACACTACAAGCAAAAACATAGCTTTTTCCTGCATTGGTCAATTTTTTACTTTTCATAGTGTGTTTCTTCAGAGTAGTGGAAATGTAAGCTTTTATTTTATTGCTCTTTATCTATTTGCGTCGATAGATTTCAATTCTAGTTAGTAACACTTGCACACACCAAAACTTATATCCTGAATCTTTTTCTGAGGGGTTTGCACATATATAATTCACACTGATTTATACAGCATTTTAATTCGAAAACATGGTGAAAATGCATATTTTTTCTCCACTTCAGCAGCACTTACAAACACCAAAACTTAATTTTATTCCGGTCTATTTTCTGAAGATTTTTTGTTCATGTTGAAGGGTTTGTTCATATATCATTCAATTGATTTTTTATTGCACTTTATCCTATTTAAGTCAGTAGATTTTAAGCATTTTTTTCTCAAAATGAGTTTTTTCTCCACTTCAGCAGCACTTGCATACACCAAACTTTACAGTTTTATTCCCAGCTATATTCTTAAGATTTTTACTGAGGGGTTTGTTCATATATTATTCACACTGATTTGTAGGACATTTTATTCGTGAAAAAACATGGTGAAAATGCATATTTTTAAAGGTTCTGAGTTTTTATTCTGAAGGGTTTTACTGAGGGGACTTGCGTTCACTAACTGATATGAGGTCTCACTCACTTGTGTCTGAACGGCGAGGCGAACTGACAGTACTGGCAGCTGTATTTGTCGTTTCTGTTGACGAGCGCTACGGCCGTGTGGCTCCTCTCGTGAGAGCGCAGGCCCTGCATGGACATGAACATACGATTGCACATGCTGCACGGATGCCCGGGTACCACACGCTCCTTCTCCGGCTCCAGCGCGCCAACCATCGGCTCCGTTTCCACGGCCACCGGCTCCTCCGTCTCCATGGTGACGTCAGCCGGTGATGCACCAGTCTCCAATGGGTCAGCGTCCATGGCAACCACATCCTCCACATCGCCGTTGGTGATTCCGTCCACGGGAACGGCAACAGGCATCTCCGCTGCTTCCTGCTGTCAGAGGACATCACTGATATTACTCATACAGTAAAGGACCAAATCTGCAAGACGTTTTGCATTGTGACATTTTCATGACAATTAAACCCATTCCACCATTAATTCTCATTACTGTAATATATATAAACTACTGCATATTACACTGATTTCTGAAGAATCATGTGACACTGAAGAAATGATGCTAAAAATTCAGCTTTGATCACAGGATTAAATTATTTCACATAGAAAACAGCTATTTATATTTTAATAATATTTCACAATTTTACAGTATTTTTGATCACATAGGCTAAATGCAGCTTTGGTGAGCAGAAGACACTTCTTTCAAAAACATGTTTATAGTATATAGTTCACATGCATTCTTCATTTTGTGGTGAAACAACAAAACTAGTCATGTTCTTGACATATTTAAGGTTCCTGACCTTTATTAATCCTGATAAATCTCACTGATATATGATATTTCTCTCCGGGTTTGGAGGTGATCATCAGCTCTGGACTGAAGCACAGATGATCAGTGTTTGATTACAGCCATTAAAGCACTCTGAGGCTGAGAGCTCTATCGGGACATCCCTTTTTCCTTATTTAGAAATGACCAAGAGGTTCCTGTGTGTTTCTGAGACATCTGCTGCTTTACAGCCAGAGGAAATTCAGCATCTCAGAGAGAGAACTGACCCTGCACTTCAGATGCTGCACCGTCAGCCAATCAGAGGCACAAACACAACCAAAGAAATACATTTAGACATAAATTGTGAGTCTGTCTGTGCAGAATGCACCAGATTTGACCTTTGAAAAAGTGATCTCAACTATTATCTTTACAGTCCATTCTTGAACCATTATATTTATCAGACTGATATTTAACACAATGCGATTACAAAGATAAAAAAAAAATTCACACAAATAACCAAACGCCCGTGATAACTAGACGCCACAACAGTGAGGTCATATTACTATTTTAAACATGTAACATTGCATACTGATTCAAAACGATGAGAACACAAATAGTGCGCAGTACAGTATTCTATGCAGTAGTGTAAGGTTTCCCAAACTGGAATTCAAACTGAATGAGAAACTAATTAAATCATAAACATTTTAATTATACAACATTTCTGTAAAAGTAGAGAATTTTGTTTCTAGGACTGATGGCATGCATACCTGGTATCCATTCTGCATCCATATTAACATTAACGTTTTTGTTTAATTGTAAAAATGATGCCTGTTTAGGTCATTGTCTGCATGATAACACTTTATATTGATAGTCCACTTTAGACATTCTACTAACAGTAAGTAACTTCGCAACTACATGTCAACTAGCAGTCATTAGAGTATTAATAGACTGTCTGCTTAATTTCTTCTAACACTTTATTTTGGTAAGTCCACAACATACAACACACGGACTATGAGAATCGTTGCAAGTATGTGTCGACTTATTCTACAAACCCTAAACCTACCCTAACAGTCCACTCTGAGAGTTAGTAGACATGCTGCTGCAAATGAATGAGAGTTAGTTGGCATGTAATTGCAAAGTTACTTATAGTTAGTAGAATGTCTAAAGTGGACTATCAAAATAAAGTGTAACCTCTTGAACGATTTTTTTTTTTCTTCCAATTTTAAAATAAAAACAAATGAAAAACTGAGCACATACTAAAACACTTCATGATGCGAATATTATCCAACGTTCATGCAAATGTTTTTTTTTTTCTCAGGAGGACTTCACAAAAATATTTTAGCTCAAAGAGCTTCAGCTTACGAAAAACCTTGGGAATCCCTGCCCGTGTGTCTCTGTTCAGCGTGTGTGTTCTGTGCCGTGAGCGCTGCCCCCTAGTGTCCGGTGCGATCCGTCCCATCTGCTGATCCTCACTGGGCTTCCGTTCAAATCCTCAGGCCCGGGCCTCCCTGCCAGCACTGGCACTCTCAGTGGAATACTAACACTAAGGCGCTTACACGCCTCTCTCCACGCCACACCGTCAAGACGACGGAAGGGTTGCATCGAGAGTCTCAGGATTCTTCTGTGATACACAAACTGGACTCGGCCATGTCTAAACGCAGCTCTCTGCAGAAACAGTCCACCTTAAACGCTACGGTTAATGAGGAAAGTCCTCATTATGAAAATCATTACACTGTACGAAACGGCACACATTTCTACTATAATACAGATATTGCAACCATGCATTAACTAATTGAAACTAACATTTATGCTCTTTAAACAGCATTTTGCCAATTCATTGTTTAATTATGCACAGAGATTTCACAAGCTCTGTACTTTAAAAATTAATTTGTCACACTGCAGGACCATTTTAGATCAACTACTGTAGATGAAAGTTGATTAAACGTGGATCTAAGAAATACACTTTCCTCTCTACATTAATATAAATGTTAACCCAAAATCTTTTGAAGTCCAAAGACATGCATTTTAAGGCGTCACAGGTGCGCTCCTGACAGAAAGGCTGTTCCAAGAGTTTGGTAGCAACATCGTTGGCTTCTAAATACACATTCTAAGGTCGCTTCACATTCAGAAAAGAGCTTCAGAAATAAGAAAATCCTTCAATCTTTATATACAAAACGTGTAACACAAGGCCGCTAGATTTAATTACATGACCAACTTTATGACACGTTGAAGGCTGTCCTCATGAATGCCCACACAAGGAAATAAAACGCTCAAGTTTAAGGAAATGTCATAACACCGCACTAGTCCATTTTCCCCGTTTCTTCTGCAATACTCAAGGATTTGCTCTCTTTGTCCATTTCATTGAATGTGCAGTCGAACTGTAATGGTTTAACCATCCAAACAAGTGAACAAAACACTTGAGTTGAAGGAAAAACAGGTCCAAACGGCCTGTGAATGCACTTGCTATTAGAGCAGAGCAGAAGAAGAGAGGCCACCTCAGGGAAAAAAGGTCTGAATTTAGATATTGTGCACAAATCTAATAAGATGCCAAAAACAGATGAGAAAACTAATGCAACTGTTGTTGCATTAGTTTAAGTCACAGATGAAGATTTATCAAGCACTCGTGCTTTAAAAAAAAAAAAGAAAAACCCTTAATGAAGCATGAAGTAACATTGGACGCTCGTACCTTCACGTGTCCCTCCTTGGCCTCCCCGTACTGCACATGCTTTCTCAGGTGGTTGCAGATGGCCCGGAGGGTGGAGTGGACCTCCACGCAGAAGTTGCACCTGTAGCCGATGGGAGTCTTATCGGGGGTGCCATCCACCTATAGGAAGAGCCAATGACGACAGAAGATCATTCGATGCAATCTAGTTTTGTTCTGTCACTTGCAACTAGAACTAATGAAGCTGAAAATTATGTCGCCAGTGTTGCCTGCTTGCAATATACTTGTTTGCATATGGTGGTCGAGGTTAAATCCAAATGTAAAAGCTACACTAACACCTAAAACATCTTTTGCTGTTATTCTACTTCCTATGTTCCTAACGCAATCAGAACAATGCTAGAGAAAATCACACAGAATACAGTTTTGAAAGTTAGTCAGGGCCCGTATTTATCAAGCCTCTGAGAATTACAAAAACACTGCTAGAAATTGACTTAAGAGTAAAAAAAATTCTTGGCTCAAAGCTGCGATTAAAAGTTAGTGATCAAGCATCTCAGTCGTAATTTAAGTGAAATGTAGGAGAAAATCTTAAGTGTCAGTCTTCGAGATGATTCAAGACACTTTGCTGTGCCCCAAACGGGATTTTGGATGACGACATAGACATGGACCAATCACTGAATTTTCTGAAGAATAAAATAGCACTTTGAGAAGCTTGATAAATACGGGCCCGGGTTTTTCAACTATTATAACCACTTTTACCCATTACAAGGTGTTTAAGCTCACCTTATTTTCCGGTTTGGCTTCTGGCGGCTCTGTCGTCCTCTGCTTGCTTTGAAGCTGTTTTCTTCGTTCAAGCCTCATGGCTCTTTTCTGGAAATCCTCATTGTGGTTTATCAGATGGACGCAGAGTTCTGGAAGAGTCAAGAATTTGATTTCACAGTGGGTGCACTGGTAGAGCTCCATCCCATCTTCTGCGGGGCTCGGAATGGTGACGAAATCCCGCTTGAGCTCCTTGTCGTGGCAGTCATTGTAATGCACCACGAGCAGCTCGGCCGCGCTGAACGAAAGCTTGAAGCATTTCAGGCATTTAAAGGGGAGCCAGTCCACGTCACCTTCAGGTTCCACCTCATCCTTAACTTCAACGATTTCCACCTCCTCCGTAGATGGAGGTTTCTCGGCCTCCTTGGAATAGATCACAGTGAAGTACTAGCATGTCGCTAGCATGATTAGCAAGTTACTAGCATGTCTCTAGCATGTTTCTAGCCTGATTAGCATGTTACTAGCATGTTGCTAACATGATTAGCATGCTACTAGCATGTCACTAGCATGATTAACAAGTGAGTAGCATGTTTCTAGCATGATTAGAAAGTTACTAGCATGTGAGCACTGTAGTGCACACGCTCTGAAGCTCATGTGGGCCATACAGGTTTGATTTCCCAATCTCTATCACTTCCCGTCCTCTATTCTCATAAAAACTACAAATAAAATACATATGTAAAGCACGCACTAACGCTCAGCAGGTGTCACAGGTGTGCTGTCAGCAGACGCTTCAGGAAGATTCAGAACATCTATATGATTCCACAAGGACAGGCAGAAAAAGTGAATCGACCGGGATGCGTCTAAAGATAAGTGAAAGCAGCACCTCTCGGCAGAAGATCCCTGCTTTAGCGCTGAGACTCTGACAAAACAGCCGTCTCCGACAGGGATCTGGGGAATCAGTGGTTTTTATCCGCGCTTCCCGTGTGGCACATGAATGCGGCAGCTTTCTGGGTCACGGAACATCCAGTGAAGGAGGATTTACTCCAGGGAACCAAACAAAGGTCCTGCGCTTCAGACGAGACTAACAGCTCTGTCAAAATATCTGCCATTCTCACAGAAAGCCAATGAGGAGACGTGACACCCCAGTGCGTGCACAATCTACAGCTCACATACGTTTTCCCTCAGGATTTCTGTATTTATCTATTTATCTCCTCCTCTCTTTGTTTGATGTAAGAGACAAAGAATCCACAAAGAGTGATTATTATTTTAGTGCTCTAAGGCGAGACACTACAAGCAAAAACATAGCTTTTTCCTGCATTGGTCAATTTTTTACTTTTCATAGTGTGTTTCTTCAGAGTAGTGGAAATGTAAGCTTTTATTTTATTGCTCTTTATCTATTTGCGTCGATAGATTTCAATTCTAGTTAGTAACACTTGCACACACCAAAACTTATATCCTGAATCTTTTTCTGAGGGGTTTGCACATATATAATTCACACTGATTTATACAGCATTTTAATTCGAAAACATGGTGAAAATGCATATTTTTTCTCCACTTCAGCAGCACTTACAAACACCAAAACTTAATTTTATTCCGGTCTATTTTCTGAAGATTTTTTGTTCATGTTGAAGGGTTTGTTCATATATCATTCAATTGATTTTTTATTGCACTTTATCCTATTTAAGTCAGTAGATTTTAAGCATTTTTTTCTCAAAATGAGTTTTTTCTCCACTTCAGCAGCACTTGCATACACCAAACTTTACAGTTTTATTCCCAGCTATATTCTTAAGATTTTTACTGAGGGGTTTGTTCATATATTATTCACACTGATTTGTAGGACATTTTATTCGTGAAAAAACATGGTGAAAATGCATATTTTTAAAGGTTCTGAGTTTTTATTCTGAAGGGTTTTACTGAGGGGACTTGCGTTCACTAACTGATATGAGGTCTCACTCACTTGTGTCTGAACGGCGAGGCGAACTGACAGTACTGGCAGCTGTATTTGTCGTTTCTGTTGACGAGCGCTACGGCCGTGTGGCTCCTCTCGTGAGAGCGCAGGCCCTGCATGGACATGAACATACGATTGCACATGCTGCACGGATGCCCGGGTACCACACGCTCCTTCTCCGGCTCCAGCGCGCCAACCATCGGCTCCGTTTCCACGGCCACCGGCTCCTCCGTCTCCATGGTGACGTCAGCCGGTGATGCACCAGTCTCCAATGGGTCAGCGTCCATGGCAACCACATCCTCCACATCGCCGTTGGTGATTCCGTCCACGGGAACGGCAACAGGCATCTCCGCTGCTTCCTGCTGTCAGAGGACATCACTGATATTACTCATACAGTAAAGGACCAAATCTGCAAGACGTTTTGCATTGTGACATTTTCATGACAATTAAACCCATTCCACCATTAATTCTCATTACTGTAATATATATAAACTACTGCATATTACACTGATTTCTGAAGAATCATGTGACACTGAAGAAATGATGCTAAAAATTCAGCTTTGATCACAGGATTAAATTATTTCACATAGAAAACAGCTATTTATATTTTAATAATATTTCACAATTTTACAGTATTTTTGATCACATAGGCTAAATGCAGCTTTGGTGAGCAGAAGACACTTCTTTCAAAAACATGTTTATAGTATATAGTTCACATGCATTCTTCATTTTGTGGTGAAACAACAAAACTAGTCATGTTCTTGACATATTTAAGGTTCCTGACCTTTATTAATCCTGATAAATCTCACTGATATATGATATTTCTCTCCGGGTTTGGAGGTGATCATCAGCTCTGGACTGAAGCACAGATGATCAGTGTTTGATTACAGCCATTAAAGCACTCTGAGGCTGAGAGCTCTATCGGGACATCCCTTTTTCCTTATTTAGAAATGACCAAGAGGTTCCTGTGTGTTTCTGAGACATCTGCTGCTTTACAGCCAGAGGAAATTCAGCATCTCAGAGAGAGAACTGACCCTGCACTTCAGATGCTGCACCGTCAGCCAATCAGAGGCACAAACACAACCAAAGAAATACATTTAGACATAAATTGTGAGTCTGTCTGTGCAGAATGCACCAGATTTGACCTTTGAAAAAGTGATCTCAACTATTATCTTTACAGTCCATTCTTGAACCATTATATTTATCAGACTGATATTTAACACAATGCGATTACAAAGATAAAAAAAAAATTCACACAAATAACCAAACGCCCGTGATAACTAGACGCCACAACAGTGAGGTCATATTACTATTTTAAACATGTAACATTGCATACTGATTCAAAACGATGAGAACACAAATAGTGCGCAGTACAGTATTCTATGCAGTAGTGTAAGGTTTCCCAAACTGGAATTCAAACTGAATGAGAAACTAATTAAATCATAAACATTTTAATTATACAACATTTCTGTAAAAGTAGAGAATTTTGTTTCTAGGACTGATGGCATGCATACCTGGTATCCATTCTGCATCCATATTAACATTAACGTTTTTGTTTAATTGTAAAAATGATGCCTGTTTAGGTCATTGTCTGCATGATAACACTTTATATTGATAGTCCACTTTAGACATTCTACTAACAGTAAGTAACTTCGCAACTACATGTCAACTAGCAGTCATTAGAGTATTAATAGACTGTCTGCTTAATTTCTTCTAACACTTTATTTTGGTAAGTCCACAACATACAACACACGGACTATGAGAATCGTTGCAAGTATGTGTCGACTTATTCTACAAACCCTAAACCTACCCTAACAGTCCACTCTGAGAGTTAGTAGACATGCTGCTGCAAATGAATGAGAGTTAGTAGGCATGTAATTGCAAAGTTACTTATCGTTAGTAGAATGTCTAAAGTGGACTATCAAAATAAAGTGTAACCTCTTGAACGATTTTTTTTTTCTTCCAATTTTAAAATAAAAACAAATGAAAAACTGAGCACATACTAAAACACTTCATGATGCGAATATTATCCAACGTTCATGCAAATGTTTTTTTTTTTCTCAGGAGGACTTCACAAAAATATTTTAGCTCAAAGAGCTTCAGCTTACGAAAAACCTTGGGAATCCCTGCCCGTGTGTCTCTGTTCAGCGTGTGTGTTCTGTGCCGTGAGCGCTGCCCCCTAGTGTCCGGTGCGATCCGTCCCATCTGCTGATCCTCACTGGGCTTCCGTTCAAATCCTCAGGCCCGGGCCTCCCTGCCAGCACTGGCACTCTCAGTGGAATACTAACACTAAGGCGCTTACACGCCTCTCTCCACGCCACACCGTCAAGACGACGGAAGGGTTGCATCGAGAGTCTCAGGATTCTTCTGTGATACACAAACTGGACTCGGCCATGTCTAAACGCAGCTCTCTGCAGAAACAGTCCACCTTAAACGCTACGGTTAATGAGGAAAGTCCTCATTATGAAAATCATTACACTGTACGAAACGGCACACATTTCTACTATAATACAGATATTGCAACCATGCATTAACTAATTGAAACTAACATTTATGCTCTTTAAACAGCATTTTGCCAATTCATTGTTTAATTATGCACAGAGATTTCACAAGCTCTGTACTTTAAAAATTAATTTGTCACACTGCAGGACCATTTTAGATCAACTACTGTAGATGAAAGTTGATTAAACGTGGATCTAAGAAATACACTTTCCTCTCTACATTAATATAAATGTTAACCCAAAATCTTTTGAAGTCCAAAGACATGCATTTTAAGGCGTCATAGGTGCGCTCCTGACAGAAAGGCTGTTCCAAGAGTTTGGTAGCAACATCGTTGGCTTCTAAATACACATTCTAAGGTCGCTTCACATTCAGAAAAGAGCTTCAGAAATAAGAAAATCCTTCAATCGCCGTGGCCTTCACAGTAGGATGATCCTTCTTCAAATGCTTCTTCAAGGCATACACATAAGGAGATGTGTATGCACAGTGTCTACACTTCAAAGATCGCAACGACCTGGATTTCTCTGCTTCAGTAGCTACAGTTGCAGTGGACGTGGAACTTCCCGCTTGGATCATCTGCGCTCGTTCTCTCTGACTCCGGACCACAGCCGTGTGTCTACGGACGAGGTCGGCATTGGCTTTCACGTCCCTGTGCTTCTTCTGGTAGTGAATCAAGACCCCCTTCACAGTGCGGTTCCCATAGTCGCAGTGTTGGCAGAAGAACAGCATTTCAGGTTCCCCTTTGTCAGATGCTCCTTTAGTGTTGGAATTACCTGACCCTTCAGTCCCGTTGTTGTTGAATTGCTTCAGAAACTGTTTAGGAGGTGCGATCTGTAACTCATCCATGAGTTTCAGCAGTCCCGGAGTTGGGGGTGCCTGCTTTATGTACTTTGCCGTCACCTTAATCTCGGGATGTCGCTTTTGATAGTGGACCAGAACGCCCACTACGGAGCGGTTGTTGTAGACGCAGTGTTTGCAGTAGTAAACATCTTCATCCAGAGCCACAGGCAAGATGACATTTGAAGACTTGGGGGTGCTCGTCAGGCTGTAGGTTGAATTGTTTGACAACTGTGCTTGGTCAACAGATATGACCCGCATGGTCTTCTGTATGCGGAAGTAGGAGGCCTTTTGCTCAGGGTGTTTTTTCTGATAGTGGACCAATACTGAGTGCATGTTGGGACTTGAGAAAGAACAGACATCACAGTCGTAAACCACCACATTACCACCCAGACTTTCTCGAAAAGCTTCAGCCTCAGTGTTTGCTTCTGGCGTTTTGCAGACGCTTTTGATAGCTGGACTGGATGATGATCTGGACCCAGATGAGGAGGATCTGAAACTCTTGGGCCCAGAATTCAAGATTTCCCTCAGTGTTTGGGATTCAGCAGCACCCTTATGAGGCTGATCGACCATGTAGCTGGAGAAAATCATGGCATTGTTGATCTTCACTGAAGGGTGCATTCTTTGATAATGGGGCATCAGGCTCCGCACATTTGGACTTGTGTAGGAACAGAAACGGCACATGTACACCAGATCTGGCTGGTTAAAGTTCAAAACGTTGCTTGCTTCTGGATGGTGTGTCATATAGTGCTGGTGCAGATCATTAAAGTTGTTATATTCAATGAAGCACTCGAGACAACGGAAGACTGCGCTCTGATCCTCTGGGTCCAGGATGTATCTGAAGCTAAACTTGATATAAGGGTGCATCCTCTGGTAGTGTGTGCTAACACTGCGAGCAGACTTGTTCTGGTACTCACAATGTTTGCAGTAGAACAGGTTCCCAGGTTCTTCAGTATTGTACTCAGGGTTGTCTTGATATGTCTCTCTGCTATCTTGACTGCTTTGATCTTGGGCATCTTTAGATTCCAAGGAGGCACTGTAATTGTCTTCATCATCAGAAATGGTTACTTGAACAGGAATGTTTCTTGATCCAAGTTTGGACTGCAGATTGCGTTTTCTTTTCCCAACACCACGCTCCGTCTGAACACTTCCAGAATTTCTAACATGAAGGTGCTGAGTGTTGAAGGTGTAGTGCTGACTTCGAGCATCAGAGGATTCTCTCTCTTTGCTTGTTTCTAAATCGATGTGATTCCCATTCTCCTCCACATCGTCGTCCATCTCCTCAAGGTTAATCACATCTTCGTGCTGTTGGCTTTGACTAATCTTGCTCTGGAGATTGTTTGCGATTTCATCAATCCTTGTCCGTTTTTTGACAGGAGAGAGATCCAAGGGTAAATCGTTGATGGACTTTCTTGCTGTCTTCCCAATAAGATGCTTCTTGGTTGAAAATCCAAGGATTGAGGTCTGAGTTTTCTGAACAAAGCTCGAGGAGCTGTAGGATTCGGATTCAGAATCTTGCTGCTCATTGGACGAGCCCTCTTGACCTGTGACTTGTGTTCCATCACAGTATGAGTGTTTGTGTTGCTGGTGGACACGTAGACCTTTCAGTGTGATGGTGGAAAAGTTACACAGTGAGCACCGATGAGGACCCTGCTGTTCCTCGACTGTGCTGGATTTTTTCCCGTTGATTTTAGAGCTGCCATTTCCTCCGTTTACTGGCACGGAGCGTTCAGCCGGACCATCTACACTTTCGCTGGTTAAGTCCATAGTGTTCCATTCAGAAGACCCACCGTGACATTGTTTGTGCGTGTCAAGTTTTAGAGGGTTGGTGCAAAGAAAGGGGCACTTGTCACATTTATACACCGTAGCTTTGCCAGATAAGTGTATGTTCTCTATGTGACGAGAAATACTACGTCGGTGCATGGTCAAGAAGGAGCAGAAAGGGCACTGGAACCTGTTCATGTGTCTTTTGAATGGAACTCCTTTAGTTTCCAGCAGGTCATTATCCTCTTCTGACAGAAGCAGCTTAGTAGAATCCTCAGCTGACTCCGTGTAGCTGGGATCATCCAAGTCACAGAGTTCATCATCTGAACTGCTTCTGGAATCATTCAGCATGCTGGCATCTAGATCCATGCCAGACCTTGACATATCTGACATGGTGAAAGTCGATCTCTCTGACAGTATGGAAGATCCTGTGCTGTTGGGTATTTTTGCTGTGAGCTGTGAGTACTGAAAACTTGATATCCCTGAAGTGGCCTTGAGTGATGCATTGCCAGAGGATCCTTTGATTGACGAGGCATTTGCGGAGGAACCTTCATTGCACGCTAGATCGTTCAGGTTCAAATTGGAGGTTGGAGTGCTTCTCCTGGATGAAGCAGAATCAGACTTGCTGGATCCCGCACTTCCGTCCTGAATTTTGGGCTGTTGCAAGGATACCATGATCTTCACCATGTTACGGTGTTTCTTCATCATGTGATCGGCTAACTGCTGCCGTTGCGATGTCTGAAATCCACACCACTCACAGTCAAAGCCTCCTCTTGACTGGGGTTTGATCATAGATTCCAGCACATTACGTTCTACATCCTCTGGCGACTCTTCACATTGTTCTTCAACGGAGGAGGCATCAGAGTGCAAATCCAAAACCTCTGCTCCAACAGGAGGAGCCGAGTGGCCTGGTAGACCTTCTTTGTGATGCATTTTTTGGTGTTTCAGAATCCGTGCTCTGTGTGGGGATTTATAAGTGCAATACTGGCAGGAAAAGACCGTTCCTACACCATCATAAGTTTTGAGGGATCTCTCATCGCTTGCTTCTCCATGGACCTTCCTGGTGTGTTCACTGAGAAGAGAGCTGGATCTGAAGTACCGCACACAGAACTTGCACTGGAAAAATGGAGTTGACGTTTTGTTTGAAGGTTTTGCTGACTGGATGCGTTTCACTTTCTTTGAACCGGAGATGTGCCCAAGGTTTTTGTTAAAGAGTTTAACACCTGAAACATGAACAGAGAAAGAAACTATTTCAAACAAGTTTAGCTCTTCTGATGTAGTTTTTTTAACTGCTAATGTGTCATTATTTCTGAATCACAAATGTTGATATACCTGCTTCCTTTTTCAACGAGTCGTAATTGTGATTGCTCAAGTCTTCCTCGTCCTCTGTTTGGCTGAGGGAGTTTAACGAGTTTGACCTGGACCGTCTGGGTGAATCGTCACCTTCTCCTACTTCTGTGGGCTGCAGGAAGGCCGTGTGGACGTCTTGTATGTGCGCCTTGAGCTCATCATTCGACTCTGCACGGAAATCACAGCCATCGCACTGCAGCACTTCCATTGCTTAGGACTCCCTGGAAAATCAGGGAAACCTGGTTAGGGACAGAAAGAAAAGAAAGGGGTAAGAGTACAGAAACACAGGCTGTAAACAAACACTTGGAAAGGAAATTTTGCAGCATTGTATTTCACAGCAAGTCAAAAGCAATCTGAAATTCTGACAAGGCAGAATTCAACAGAAGAATGTTTCTTTTTTTGGCGAGTGGTCAGTCTGCTCCAAGAACAATAGCTGAGGAGGGATTATGGGCTGATTTGTTCCATTTTTTTATTACCCAGGGATAAGCCTCAGCTGGAGCACACCAGTGAGCCTTGGTATTTACATCAGCATGTTCCATCAGATTGTATCAAGCCCTTCTGAAATAAGATTGAGTGAATCCGCTGAGGGATGAGGAACGCTCAGGGCTTCAGAGATGCAGTGCAAACACAAAGGATTATGGGGCGGGCTGTCACTTGGAGGTGGCATTATTATGTCCCGTGACCTAAGAGCACCCAGCAACCACGCCAATCAATGAGCTGAAACAAAGTATAATTCCGTCCCTGATCAATACTTTTTCATTAATACTTGCACAGCTGCCAAATTCAGCACATACGCATGCTGTCCGTGCTCAAATCCCTGCTGTATTTGGGAATACTGCAATATTTCATTAGACTGCACTGAACATTTTCATAAACCAATAAAACTTTTCCATGAAAATCTACAAACTGAGCCAGAAATTACAGAGAGTATGTCAGGAACATATGATTTGAATAAAACTAATTCAGCACTAACCTCATGTAAACCTTATATCCAGAAATACATATAAAACCACAACTGCCGCTTTTCTCTACAATACCAAGCAACGGTAAAAGTTGTACAGAAACAACGAACATGTTTTTCTTTCATCATGGGTCATTCTCTATCTGATCTGTGTGGCAAGGACATGAATATTAGCATGAACTCAACAACAGGAATGCATTTAGCAGTCGTACAGCACGGTACCAGCACTGCAGATCTGAAAGCCATCAACACAAACCAGAGTAAATCTTCAGCCTTGGCTGGCTAGGACACATTCTGCAGATGATTTCTGCAAGAAAAGGCCTCAATGTCAAGGCCAGTGTTATATGGGTTTAGTGCAATGCTACACATTAGAGAAGACCTTGAATGCTGTAAAACCAAACAAAATAGATTCTACTTGGATCTTAATCAGTCATTCTAAAGGCAAAATAGACAATTTTTCCCGGTTGTGAGGATGAATTGATATCAAATCAGTGATTAGACTCTTAATTCACAAAGAAAAGGGACCAAAATACAATCAAGAACCTGCAATTGTTATTAAAATAAGAGAGACAAACGTATGAACAATAGTTATCATAGAACACGTGCCTTAAATAGGATTCAAAATCTAAATCCACTGATATTCGTGCAAAATAGGAACAGTGAAATTTATTATTTCATGCAATTCTAAAGCAAAAAAAATTATTGTTTGCTTTCATCAAAAGCTAATACAAGGCCACGTGGTTGGGTAAAAATAATACTGAAGAATATTAACTGTCTTTCCATGGTGCAACCAAACCCTGATAGATAAAATTAAGGGTTGCGCTTGATTTCGATAGTCAACTTTAGATATTATACTAACTATAAGTACCGTTGCAACTACATGCTACTTAACTCTCATTAGTGTATTAGTAGACTGTTAGGTTAGGGTTAGTTACTTAAAGTCAGTTGAATGTCTGTTAGCAGATATTAAGCAGACAGTCTACTAATACTCTAACGATTGCTAGTTTAATTAAAGTCAACCAAATTTCTAAAGTGGACTATCAAAATAAAGTGTTATCAAATGAAGTCCCATCCTACATTATTGTTGCTTCACCCACCGGATGAAAATACTAAAATGACGGCAATATCACATCATGGGTTTAATACTTAAGGGTTAAGTATTAAACTGGCAAATGCAATAGTTATACAGACACTAGACTGAAAACAGGTTTATGGCTGAATGGTTGGAATTCCTGATAGATGAGAAGATCTCTCTTGTCGAGAATAAAGACATCCGAGCTCTCACACCTATGGCCTCAAACGGTAAAAGCAGACACTGGTTTCAACCTTCATTCTCAACAACACTGCCAGTGTGTCCCAGGGCAGGGAGGCATTGTCTCTCGAGGTCGAGTTTCAGCTTCGCCCTGATGTGTTCCAGCACTCGAGAGGAACTCAGAGCAAACTTACACTCATCTCGACAGCCATATCTGGACAAACCATGAAGTCTGGTAGAGGAGGAAAACACAAATGCAAAAAATAGCAGACATAAAACAACACAAATTGCACCTAGCAGTTAATCCGCCGGAGCGTCAGATACTTCCAGACTAATGGGGTGAAATTTGTAAAGCTTTCATGTGCTTGGCACAGCTCGGACAGCCACTGAGCACCACAGATCCTTTGAGCTTCAAGGGCAGCCATTTTAAGAGCAGCAATGTGTGCTGAGGTGTTCAGGCAGAGCGTAACATGGACTCGCAGATCTGATCCTCTCGCTGCCACTGGAGAGCAGCTGACAGAAATCTATCTAGCAGATGTAACGCACCCAAAACCTTCAGCCTGCACAGCTCAGCAGAAGCACAGGGAAAAAACCTTCTGGCGTGCCAGCCTAAGCTCAGCCGGCCATATTTTCAACATCTTGGGATTTAAAAAAAACATCACATTTTACATGCTGCAGAAGCTTTCACCCAAAGTTGTTTACAGAGCATCCAAAGGTGTGCAAGTGGAGAATGTATAGCGCTGGTCTAAAGACTTTGCCACATTAGACGCTTCTCAAAAACACTTGGCTACAACACTTGTGGAAACTTCTCCAAGACGTTAGAAGAACCCACCACCAAACTTTCTTATAAATGGTGCACAGGTGTATTTGGGACAAAGCAAAGGGTGGATGCACCAAATATTGATGTGATAAATAATGTACATAATCCATTACGACATCACTTTCAAAAACAAACTTCTCGCAGTACTGTAACTTGCAGGTCGGTTGTTCCAAGCATCTTGAAGACACACTAAAGCACCAGAACAAAAAGCTTTAATGTTTCTGTGAAGCACCTAATGTGTCAAAGACTTCAGCACAGTGTAAAAGAATTCAACCCATGATCTTGGTGTTGCGAGCTCTACCAGTGTTGGCCCGGCGTGATATTGAAAGATCTTTTAAACATTCGGCAGATATTTTCACCCAAAGAGATTTACAGAGCATCTAAAGGTGTGCAAGTGGAGAATGTAATGCGCTGTGCTAAACACTTTGGCATATTCGATGCTTCACAAAAACACTTGGCTATTTATACACTAGTCAACATTTGAAGTGGATCAGAACCTTTCAACAAAGTGGTCTTAAAACCTAAAAAGCGTTCTTGTCTCAAGTCAACTTTGATGAACTTTTTTGATCCACTTGAAATGTTGACTACTATAGTTGACTGTAGAAAGAATTTCTCCAAGACGTCAGAACAACCTACCAGCAAACTTTCTTTAAAATGGTGCACAGGTGTATTTGGGACAAAGCAAAGGGTGGATGCACCAAATATCAATATGATTAATAAATAACTCTAACAACTTCTCGCAGTACTGTATCTTGGCGACTGGTTGTTCTTCCAAGCATCTCGGAGAAGTTTCCTACTGGCACATTAAAGTAAAAGTCTTAAAACAAATGTTTCTGTCAAGCATCTTATGTGCCAAAGATTTCAACAGTGTATAAGTTTTTCACGTGTTGACAGTGTGTGCGGAGTTTTTGCAATTTTTAAAAAACATTTTTAGATATTGCGTTTTTTTCCCCATTTACTGTAAAAAATGAGTCATGCCAACATATTTTTCCAATACTAAAACTCAAAATAATTAAATTTTTTAAGTTACACAAGATTCATCTAGACAAGATGTGTTGAAATGACTTGCACAGCCAATCTTATTATAAACTAAAACTTGAGTTCAATTGCTGCTTTAAATGTTCATCAAGTTGAATCAAGTGAATTTTTTTTAGTATTCCACTTCCCTCATCTTTTTTTGAACGTGAATGGCCCCTTACATTAATGTCTTAATTTCACTGCTGTCAATATTGCGAGCTCTACCAGTGTTGGCCCGGCGTGATATTGAAAGATCTTTTAAACATTCGGCAGATATTTTCACCCAAAGAGATTTACAGAGCATCTAAAGGTGTGCAAGTGGAGAATGTAATGCGCTGTGCTAAACACTTTGGCATATTCGATGCTTCACAAAAACACTTGGCTATTTATACACTAGTCAACATTTGAAGTGGATCAGAACCTTTCAACAAAGTGGTCTTAAAACCTAAAAAGCGTTCTTGTCTCAAGTCAACTTTGATGAACTTTTTTGATCCACTTGAAATGTTGACTACTATAGTTGACTGTAGAAAGAATTTCTCCAAGACGTCAGAACAACCTACCAGCAAACTTTCTTTAAAATGGTGCACAGGTGTATTTGGGACAAAGCAAAGGGTGGATGCACCAAATATCAATATGATTAATAAATAACTCTAACAACTTCTCGCAGTACTGTATCTTGGCGACTGGTTGTTCTTCCAAGCATCTCGGAGAAGTTTCCTACTGGCACATTAAAGTAAAAGTCTTAAAACAAATGTTTCTGTCAAGCATCTTATGTGCCAAAGATTTCAACACAGTGTATAAGTTTTTCACGTGTTGACAGTGTGTGCGGAGTTTTTGCAATTTTTAAAAAACATTTTTAGATATTGCGTTTTTTTCCCCATTTACTGTAAAAATGAGTCATGCCAACATATTTTTCCAATACTAAAACTCAAAATAATTACATTTTTTAAGTTACACAAGATTCATCTCAACTTTGATGAACTTTTTTGATCCACTTGAAATGTTGACTACTATAGTTGACTGTAGAAAGAATTTCTCCAAGACGTCAGAACAACCTACCAGCAAACTTTCTTTAAAATGGTGCACAGGTGTATTTGGGACAAAGCAAAGGGTGGATGCACCAAATATCAATATGATTAATAAATAACTCTAACAACTTCTCGCAGTACTGTATCTTGGCGACTGGTTGTTCTTCCAAGCATCTCGGAGAAGTTTCCTACTGGCACATTAAAGTAAAAGTCTTAAAACAAATGTTTCTGTCAAGCATCTTATGTGCCAAAGATTTCAACAGTGTATAAGTTTTTCACGTGTTGACAGTGTGTGCGGAGTTTTTGCAATTTTTAAAAAACATTTTTAGATATTGCGTTTTTTTCCCCATTTACTGTAAAAAATGAGTCATGCCAACATATTTTTCCAATACTAAAACTCAAAATAATTAAATTTTTTAAGTTACACAAGATTCATCTAGACAAGATGTGTTGAAATGACTTGCACAGCCAATCTTATTATAAACTAAAACTTGAGTTCAATTGCTGCTTTAAATGTTCATCAAGTTGAATCAAGTGAATTTTTTTTAGTATTCCACTTCCCTCATCTTTTTTTGAACATGAATGGCCCCTTACATTAATGTCTTAATTTCACTGCTGTCAATACTCAATTCAAAGACATTTGGTCACCATGACCCTAAACCAGCCTAACTGTACCAGGCTTCCTCAAGACTAACTAGTCTTATCTGGTTGATTTTGTCCATGCACTCTCACAGAGTCAAGAGTCTCTCACGTCCTCAAAACGAGCTTAGAGGAACTAAAGCTTCACGAGGGGGTCTAAAAATGCAAAGCATGCCTGAACTTCCCTCTTTCAGAGCACACAAAACATCTGCAGCCCTGGGCTAAGAATGAGGAAGACAAGAGAGCGATGGGAAAAAACTGGAAGCAGCGAACGCCGGTCCGACCCAGACACCTGTGAGAACTTTCTATCCCAACGCAACCAGATTTCAAAGTCTACTGACGTTTGTTAATCACCAACCTGCCTTAACAGCCTCCTCTATACCCCTCTCAAAGACACTCTCTGAATAAGCCAGCATTAAGCTGATTAGAAGTAGAAGGGTTGTGTCCTCAACCGTTGGTCCACCATCTCACACAACAGAGAGACAGAGAAACGAATGAAGCCGTGATTGAAGATTACACTCTCCGGCTATACATCCACATTCTAATCAGCTCTCATGAACGAATAATGACGCACTGATTAACAACATTTGCAGCAAATTAATTGAGGGTTGACGGCTGAAGAACAATTACACACGGTAAAACCAAACAGACAGAAACTAGTATTAGTATTTACCCCGATTATTACAAATAGATGTCGTGCGTTAAGAGCTGTTAATGATGTAGCCGCTCGAGGACTATTTAATCGCTCAGAGCTCAGGCAATTCTCAGTTATGCTTCACTGAAGTAGCATGTTAGTCTCAGATCCTTCCTCTGGAAAAATATTGTAAGAGTTTAACCCTTAAAACACATTAGGGTACATCATTTCTAAAAAATGCAGTTTTTAGAAAG